GAAAAAAAAGGAAAAAAAACTCAGAAAATTAGAACAAATCAAGTTTTTAGTGCTCCCTGAAAAAAAAAAAAAACACCAAAAAAACCCCAAAACTTAGAAACATTAATCTTATGACTTGCTCCCTAGTTCTATCATGGCGGGATCTCCCATTTTGAAACACTCTTCAGAAAGAACGGGTTAACACATGGATAGAAAGTTAGTACTAATAAACATGAAGGAAACAGAGAAGACAGACACGGGATACACACAAAATAGTAGGGAGGAATAAGCAACTTGGCATTTTACAAAACAGTTAGTTTTTCATTCTGCCTCTTTAGTAACCAGTAAGAGTAACAAAAGCAACAGTGACTTCTTTGGGAAGGCGGGGGGGGGGGAACAACAAACAAAACTCGGAGACGAAAAATGCACATAATGAGACCTTAAAGAGAAGGTCAATAAGGGCATTATCCTATTTCTTACGGGTAATTCATGGGTAGCAGCTCCTCTGCTTACTAGTTTAGTTTTCAATATTCTGCATCACAATGCCCAATTTCTCCGCCTTCCTCAAAAATAAACCCATGGTTAAGATGAAAATCTTTCTTTGGAGGACAGCTTGTTACAGAGCAAGTAAAAACCCAACAGGTTACTTTCAAAAGTCAAAGGGAATTTTGCCTGATGAAAGATTAGAAAACCTGATCCAGAGTCATTACCTCCCACGTCATGACCAGACGACAGCTTGGCAGCCAGCTGCCGGTTACGTGTAACATACTGTAAAGACTGTATTTCCTCTTACTTCCTTTCAGGTAAGTACCAGAGTCCCAGGTGATGCGTACTTGTGCTACTCGGCTGATTTGAGGAGGTTCAGATTTGTACATTAGCAGAAAAATCATTCTGGACTCAATACTTCTTGATACCTTAGGCCTACCACGCTTAGACATGAGTAGTGGTTCAACGGTGGCTACCTCCAAAAAAACTCCCCAGCAATTAAAAGGTCATTATTGAAGTTTGGGCAGTAAATGATTTGAAAGTGCTATAAGCTAGTCAGTGGAGTGATCACTCACCAAAAGAATGCTCACCACTCTTTTCCAGGTGCCCTATCCATTGTTTCTAAGTACCAAAACCCTTCAAATGCATTCGAAGTACACAAATGTTTTCCTTTCCCACTCACTGTAATTCATTATTTTTATGGACAAAGTGCAGGAAGAGTTTATGGCTAATTTTTTTTTTTTTGGGGGGGAGGCACAATTTTCACATCAACAAGAAAAGAAAATATTACAGCACTCAGTTGCTTATAATTTGTGCCCCAGAATAGTGAGGAAATCATAGTCAGCTCTTTTGGCTGAAGCCAGTATTTCAAAGAACATTGGCCTGGGTACCTGAACATCCTTGATAGATTTCTCCAGGTACTAATCTCGGCCAGCGGTGGGAAGGAACCATCAATATACCTCCAACCCAGCAAGTAAACAGCACAAAGGCAATGCTGACTCCATCTAACTTATTCTTGGGCTTTGGACCACGCGAGGCCAGAGCAGGTAAGGAGCAGGCAGGCAACTTTGGATGAAACTGTATTAAACCACTGTTGAAATAAGGATTCATTATGGATTTTAAAGATCTTGACGGCCTTTTCCAAGTGTCTTGGTCATCTGAAGAGTCAAAGGTTGTGAGCAAAATAGCTCACAAAGATTTTCTAAGAAGAACTGGCTAGCGTAATTCTCCAATAAAGAAAATAGTTTCCGCCTTCTGCATCCCCAAGTAATACGTTTGTCCATCCTATATTACATTTTGTTATCTATAATTTAGAAAAAAAAAAAATTATAATTTCCGATTTACCACTGTATTCCAGATAACTATGTACAGTCTGCACATACTATCAGACTGCTCAATTAGACTTAATCTGTGTTAATTAAGCTTTCCATTTTCCAAGCTGTATTTTAATACAGTTGGATCATGAAAACAAAGTCTTTATCATCATTAAGCTGATTCAACAAGATAAAATATTAACAAAGATGCATTTATCATCATTGTAATATAAATCATGTCCATCAAATGATGATATAAATTAACAGCAAATCTCTAAATGTTGCAAAATATCCGTTTAGTATAACAAAACACTATCTCTGAATTACTGGCTTCAAGAAACAGTTACATACATCTTATTTTAATACCTTTAGTTTCAGAGTTCCATTCTATTAATGGAAAATAAAATCCTGCTAAAACTTACCAGAGAAATGAAATATAAACCAAGCATTCTAAGTATTACTCCCTTACGGTGATCATCTCCACTACATACATCATGCAAAACTGCCTTTTGAACTAGTTATGCTGGCATATGTAACTTGGAATATATATATTTATGTGTATGTGTGTACATATACACACACACCTTTTTGTTGCTTGGAATAAAACCTATTTGTCAACTATTAAACCTATGCACAACAAAAAAAGACATCTCCCATAAAGATATGAACTCTTGTACCAACAGCTAACACAGCTTCTTTTATTCAGATGTTCTGCACGTTCTGAAGTCTCTAACTTTTAACTTTGCCACTTCTGGTATGCTGGTAAGTTAAAAAACTATGTCCTTAACTACAACATCTCCTATTTTGTGACTGAGGGAAGAGTGCTTGGCTTTTCCATAGTCAAAAACTATAATGGTTAGGTAATAAATGTACCCTTATACTTGTTCCCATAGGTCTTAATCATGCTGAAACATAATGACGTTTCTTACTATTCTCTTCGCATTGTCTATTTTCATAGACACATGGCAGGTTGAGAAAAGCTTAACAAAAAACCTGGATGTCACCAGAACAGAACCATGATAATTATCAAAAACTTAGTAGGAGCAACAATTTAAAAGAGGCTTCCCCTGTGTCAAGGGCCTGCACCCATTTCAGTTCACATGCAAAGCTAAAGACTAGAGTGACCTGAGCAGTTAGAGCAACATCAAAAAAAATCAAGCTGAAAGTTCTACTATTACATTGATCATAATGTAAGCAGGGTCCTCTTCAGCAGTGCCCCAAATCTTTACTGTCTACTCCTCCTCAATGTTAAAAGGTATTTTCTCTACTGTCATCACAGACCCAAGGGTCTGAAAGCACTATCCTTAGCAACGTCCAAGTAGCAACTTAAGAAACTGGAGAAACAAGCAGCGACTCTGTTTTAAGTGATACACAATGAGTCCAGAAAAGAAGGATAATTGCAGTAATCCATCTGACATTCAGAATGTAACAGCAGTCATTAGCAACACTGGACATGCCTGTTTCGACTCTTACATAGAACTACAAAGGTTTAAGTGAGACTAGCACCCAATCCTTCAACTATATATATTTTTAAACAGATGTCTATTAATTTGAAATACTAGAGATAACCTCAGTGCCAAGAAGGACATCAGCAGTGCATTTTGTTCAATCAAGATTACTCCTGCATAGCACATCTCTCTACAAGCATCTGCCCGTCAAGATAGAGGAGTTAAGTAGCTAAATTCAGAAGAGGCCGTATCTAAAAATCCACATGCCTCGCTTTGTATAATCATCACTGCCGGTCTAGTTTGACCTTGGATTTTGCTGAGTGCATGCATGTGTCTCTACATGTGACAGTGTTCCTCTGCCAATGGCTCTCCTCAAATATTCTCTTTCTCAAATAACAAAAAAAAAAACCCAACCCAAAAAAAACCCCCACAAACAAAAAAAAAAATCCCTTAACATGGCCATCTGATCCTGTTAACCATGACTTCAGAGAGCTACAATGGCCTGGAAAAGCTTGGAGGAATTAAAAAGTAATGACAAAAGGAATGATAGCGCGAGAGAAGGAAAACAGGAAGAGTTGGAGAGAGGGATCCTTGTGTAATGTAAAACAACATTCTTATATATTGAAACAACGGCCTGGAAATTGAAAGCAGGAATAAAGTAAAAGAAAGAGACCGATAAGAAAGTAGAGGTGGCAGAAAAGTATGATGATACAATAAGGAAGTCGCAGAGTCCTCCCCTCAGCTATCCTTGTCCGGACACCTCTGCTGTTGCAGTGGCAAGAGCCATCATTGACAATTTGGTCAGAATAAAGCCACTGCCTTCTCCTTCATATACTTTCTCAACAAAAGGCAAGAAATTGGGCTAACAGTTGTGTATCATGTACATGATTAAGAAAATTAAATAGCAATAGGATTTTTTTTTTCCTAAAAGAAATGCTGCAGAATGACTGGTGTTAGATTTGAAATGGGAGAGACCAAAGAACATCCTATTACTTGTATTAAAACAAAGTCAGACTAGATACACAGGTCCTTCAAGCCCCAAGAAATTATGGAAAAAAAGCATTCACAAAGTTACAAGTAGGAGACTATTTGATGCAACACACACTTTGAAACATCAAAACATCATTGGAATTGTGTTATGGGCCATAATACAAGGTACACTTTTTTTTTAAAAAATAAACTGATGTCTGCCACTATGATAGCTAATGAAAAAGACCTCTTTTTTCCTCCTACACTGACAAAAAAAAAAGGGAAAAAAAGACACACCCATAAAATAAGAATATACTGCATTTATGCCAGGAAGAAAATGTACACATCACCATATGGAAGCACAAGTAGCTTAATTGCTGAATCTCAAAAAAAACCCCCCATATTATTTAAAAATGTTATAAAACATAGTGAAACAGGAAACACGTAAGTTTAACTTTTATGAAAAAGCAAACTCCAAAGTGCATACGATAAACTCGTAAGGGAAAGTGCATTACAAGGTTTGTAACTTCCAAAGTGCATTGATTACGTCAATACTACATTGGGTTTGATCTTTCCATTTAAGTTAATTTAAGTTATTTCACAGACCAGGATACATAACTAATGCATTCCTCCTGTAACAAAAAACAACTAGCAAAAAGTAGCAAATTGCAAACTATGAAGAAAGGCTTTAACTTACATGTCAGAGTGTACATCTACCATTTCAACACACTGTCAAAATGGACCACTGAGCGCTCAGTATCTTTTATGTTGCTACTGCTGCAAGAGAGAAACAATTTCCTCTTACCTGTGCTCTAACTCTCGGATAGAAAGTATAACTCCAGAAGTCGATGCCTTCTGTTGCAGGGTGGCCAGAAACGTGAACTCACTTTTATTCCGGAAGAGCTGAATTAACTTCTCACTCACGTGGGGCGCTGCATGGATTTCTCTTTCTGTATCTAAGAATTTTATTTAAAAAAGAAAAAAAGAGGGAAACAACAGTCCAGTAAAAATGCTAAGTCAGAAAGATTCAGATTACATTTTTCATTTTCCCCATCAATATTTTTCATTTCTGAGAGTCATCTACCACGCTCCACCACTGCATTTGTTCCATGAAAAAACCCAAATGCCATCTCTGTCAGCATGCCCACTTGTCACTTTGACAAGTTCACAACTGGTCAGCTACGGATTTTCTGACAGAATTTTTAACGGGATGCTGAGCCATTTGTGTCTGCTGTGAGCAGATTAAGGTGCTGTAAATAAGGTGTGCTGCAGCCAGATAAATAGGCTCCTAAATTCTGAGAAATCTCAGGCACTGCCTCTCCCAACACAATTCACCAAGCTCCAATTTCAGTTTTTACCACTGGCTCCGTTACCGCCTCTCCATCGCACATCAGAGAAAACCTGTCCTTACACTGTGTAAGGCAGAGATGTATTATTACTAATAATGCTATACGGCTGTGCTTCTGCCCGAGAAATAAATACAAGACACGCTTGCAAGCCACTATCGTTTCAGGGACTTCTCAGTTTAAACAAGCAAAGTGTGACAGCTCATACAATATTTATTAAAGTACAGTCTGACCAGGCAGATCCAGAAATATTTCAGTCTCGCTAATCCTGCTGATGTCCAAGCGGCAGCATGCCTTCTTATATTTGATCTTCTAAGATTCAAATGTGCTGTCTCCCACCACATTCATTTTTCTCTCATCCCTTTATTCGCAATATATCATCACTACGAAAGATGATTAACGACAAAAGGGAGAAATCACGGCATTTCACCTTCCCACCCCTTGCCATGTCTCTCACGCTGGGCCTTTGTCACACATTTGCAAGACCTGTGCCACTTGCGGTTCCTGGATGTCACAACCAATTAGAAGCCCGGTGCGCTTCCTTTCGAAAGGTTTACTTTGAAGCCAGAAATGCCGGCACAAATTCTCAGCTGGTAGAAAACCATATACCTCTACTGAATCCTGAGAATCCAGCCCAGCACGAATGCTGTAACACACAAAGGAGTGTTGAGATTTACAATTCAGAATTTCACTGCGGGGGGGGGGGGAATTGTGTCATTAAATAAGGCTTTGCAGACAGAAAGAGGAGACTGGATTGAAAAACAACCTGAAACTCAGAAATGCAACTACTGAGGGAACGCCATGGACTGAAACCAAACTCCATGGAAAAAGTATTCAGGCATGTTTTGTAATTGGGTGTCTCATTTTTTCCTGTGCAGCTTAAAGCCCTTCAAACAAGCCTACACGCTCAGAATCCGTAACATGCTTGCGCTCTGAAAAGCTCACCTCTGAAAAGTACTGCAAATTAGACATCAAAAATCGCTAGTCATCATTCAAAAAGCTTTGCCAGAGGCTCAAATTCACCTGATAAATAAATATAATGCCCGCTTTACAGCATCAAACTATTTGTCTGTCCAATGCCACTTATATCATAGCAGAGGATAAAGCTTTAAACAGAAATCGTTTCCGCTGCCATCAGAAAGGGGAATGGAGGAATAAACAAGCCAGCACAGAAGACCATATTTTGTCTTTACCTATAGGATTTCATTATCTGTATCATTATCTTCACCTAGCAGGTGTTATTACTGGTCATAAATACTATCTAGTTGCTTTGAAAAAAGCTGATGACACATAGACACAAAACTATGTGTCCCATACACCTGTAAGTTCTCCGATATCCAGTTTGCTATCTACACAGACAGATAATCCACTGGTACTAAGTTCCAAGGCACAAGTAAGACTCAGAGATAAAATGTCCAAGAGCTGACAGTTGAAGATAATTATCCTTGTTTTGAAGGTTAAAAACCTCACTATCTCACGGAAGTTGGGTTTTTTTTTTCTTAAAGGTGTCACAATTGCCAGAAATAAAATACGACTTATCAAAGCTTTCAAAAATTCTTTCACATGAAAGCATAGGCAGTGCTGTCAGGGGAACATATATGTTAGAACTTCAGTCAAGCCCTGCAAAGTCCAACACTTTCTCATTATAGGGGGACCCAGATATAAAGCCACAGCCTGCCACCTATCCACCAAGTTTTACGCAAAAATATAGGATTCTTTAGTTGGAATCATGCATGAATAATCAATGCGCTTACTCCAGTTAGAAACATAATTTGAAATACTGTGTTCTACTCTACCACCTCTTCATAGTCATGAACACAGCAAAAACACACGCAACACCTTATACTCATTCTCTGTTGATTAAAATCAATATATGCCATAGGTAACGGAATTATGAAATTCCAGAATCTTGGGTTCAAACTACTAGGTAACAAACAGTATTTACGTACTGCTTTGCAACACACATACAATTCATACGAAGGAAGATCTCTAACTAGGCTTTTCAAAATTAGCACACGTCTAAGCATGGTGCCATTTCTTTGGAGTAGGTCTACTCATTAGAAGGCTGAGGAGGTACCAGTGCCTAGAAACACCCCCTACCACTAGACAACTGAAATCGTACTTGCAGATGCAGAAATGTCTACAGAAACGCTGTTCTTCATAACTCAACCTCAGCAACTACAACAAGGGGAGTTTCCCAGCCATTCCGTGGCGAGATGGCAAATGCGACCCGATAGCCTGCGACTGGACCGGCAAGCTGAGGAGCCCACCGAGGCTAGCGAGGATCCAGGGGGCACGCAACCTGGCATTACGGAGATGATAAACCTGTCGGGGTGCTGAGCGCAGCCTGGAGCTCATAACCTGGGGCCCGAATGCTGGGAAGCAGCTGCATGAGGCCTCGCCGAGGGCTTGACCCAGCTGGCACTGCATCACCCCAGTTGCCGTGCCCCATGGGACAGCCCCCCTGCACCTCTCTGGCAGTGCCCCTCCTCATGCCGCGCCGTCGCCGGGTACGTCATCTGTTTGCATTTTGCTCGATTTCTGCAGGAATCGCCACACAAATGAACCGGGAGTAAGATCCATTTAGAGTAAGAGCTTTCTATTTTCAGATTGGTTTTCACACTTCAAAAAAAGAAAAATTGAGAATACATACGCCCCCTCACCACAGGTGCCTGAAAGGGAAAATACTTTTTATGCTCTCTATAAAAATAACTGTCTGCTCGTAATGAAATGTCGTATTTCCTACATAATATAGAACAATATAGGTTTATACAGTAATCTTCAGTGAAACATCGCTTCATGCTTGAACGATAATGCAATCTCAGCAAAATAAATAAATAAACAAACATAGATACGACTTTCACATGCCCTTCTATGTGATTATATTTTCTTAATTTGAAATACTGACTGTCTGGAGGGGGGTTTTTAAACATACCAGCGCGTTTCTAAAATAAAACAAGCAAAAAAAGCCAAGCATACACAGTTATTTGAAAGTACAACAGATACAAATCATCTCAGAGCATCAAGTAAAGGCAACTTTCTACTGTCAGCAAAACAGACCAGCAGAAGACACATCTGTGTCAGAGAGACAGCGTATTTGTTGCTTGACTTCAATTCCTTTTTTTTTTTTTTTTAAGCCATAGGTCCAAGGAAGAAGTGCCAAACACAAAGCAATGGTGCAGTTTGCCAGGACAGCCAAACCCATTTAGCCCCTGCCATCCCACATGTCCCTGCCCGGCACCGTCTCCCCCATTCCCAGGGACACCACCTTGCCTTCTCCTGGCTGCTTGGTCCCGCGTGAGCCCATTCAGCCCCCGGACCAGCACAGCCCTACCAGGCCAAAAGGAGCTATGAGAGGAACCGGCACCCAGAGCTACAACTTCTGCAGGGGCTCAGCAGCTGCAGCACGACTCTGGCCGAGCTCTGCAGAGGAAGACCACAGTATCCTGCTTAGCTGCAGCAAGCTCTTACACGCTCAGCCACCTCGATAAATCTTACCCGTAACTGCAATTACTCACGATACTCATTTCCAGCACCTTCAAAATAAGTCTCAAATTCTTATTTTAGCATGGGTTTGTTTTCATTTCATAAGACTGGTCCAGATGACAGGTAATGCTGCACTGGGGCCAATGATGACAGGGCAAGCTTTACCTTGTACGTGTGAAACGTACAGGTATTTCGGTACACATTAACCCTACATGACAAATGGAATTAAGAAGGTACAGTAACTCAGGATTAGGATCAGTCCTTACAAACCTGATTTAGGCTCTCAAGTCACGTCTTCCTGCATGGATCCACTGCTCTACACATCACCAGCTCTGGCAACTAAAAATTAAAACCTGAGGCTTTTGCCACTTGTAGCCCAGAACGTATAAGAGGCCCCAAAGAAGAGAAAGGGAGAAGTTGGCTTCAGCTTCATTAGAAACAGCGTAAGAAAATTATCACCACACAGAAGCAGACAAAATGAGTTAGAGAAATAAAAGAATAGTGCTAGGAAAGCAGGCAAAGTTCTTGCCAAACTTACTTTGATGACAGTGTCAACAATCCATCGCAGAAAGGAAAGTACATGACCATTTGGGCTGGAATGAAAAACCTGCACCAGTTCTTACAAGATGAATCCCAATCCATCTATGAAATCCTTTTTCTTTAATAGATGCTTCCATTAAAGAAAAATATTAAAATTCAGTTCTAAACCAACTCGTGTTTCCTGAAGCAACAGATATGTTTCATCATTCACGAGCCTCCTCGAATACCTTTTCCTTTTACTTCCTTACTTTGGTAGGGAACATACTGCAGAACACATTGCTTTATTGGTACCTTCAATCATTTCAAGGCTATTTGTTTCAACATGCTTCCAGGAGAACCTTTGCACAGTCACTCTGGACAATCAAGTAGAAAGTAACCCTGCAACAACAGAGAATCTGGATTTCAGCTACAGCAATTAAAGAATCGAATATCGCAGCATCTTGGCTTTTACCTTGCTATGGGCAAAAATCCAATAAAACTGAAATGTCTATTAAAAAAAACTCAGTGCCCCCCCCTTTTTTTTTTTTAAGTCTTCAGCTTCCCAAAAATGAAACCAAGAGTAGAAGGAGGACTCAGAACTAGCA